TAAATAAATAAATAAATAAATAAATTTTTGGGGCCATTCCCAGCATGCTGTGCCAGCCCCACCCCCAGGGTGTGCTGAGAGGGTAACTGAGACGGGGTGTGGGGGTGCGTGCCTGTAATCCCAGGACTTGGGGTGATGAAATCAGGAGGATCACTATGAGTCTGATCTGTGTAATGAGACCCTGTAGATCCTGTACTAAATACATTTAAAAAGTTAAATAAATAAATTTCTAGGGTTCTAACAAAACTATTCAGAACTATTTTAAAATGCCATGAAAACATTCCTTCTGTTTCCACCCATATACCTGTTGGAGGTCCTATCTTCTTCATTTCCACCAAAATGACAGGTCACTACAGATTAAGGGGTGTGGAAAGTATAGTTTTAATTAAAATGTGTTTTAACCCATGTAGCTCATGTTTTAAAGCTTAATTTACTGGTATAGTTTCAACATACACAATCATCATATTCATCACAGGGAATTTTTACTTGTACATGATATATCTTCCCCTGCACTCCCTTCAGCTTCTCTTCTTACTCTTATTTATAAGAGCTGTTTCCATTTTCCTTCCAGTTATTTTTTCTCCTTTTCCTTAAATGTAAAGTGCATATTTTTAAATTCCTGATTCAATTTCTCATGAAAAAAAATTATGACAGATATAACCCACATATCAGCCAATGACCGTGTGGTTTTTAAAGATCTTTTGGAAATCTTTAGTACATTCTAAAATGTAATTTGTTCAGAAGCTTGTTTCTAATGGATTTTCCTTGAAGAGAGGTGTTATATCTTGTTAGAAGGTTTTATTACCCTCTTAGTTATCCAGAATCATACATTTCTTCATTTTTTAATTTATCACATATATCCTCTTCGCATAATCCACCTTCACAACTATGTACCTTTTTCTTGAATAACTTTTGTTCAATTCATACTCTTTTCTTTTTAAAAATTTTTGTTTATCTAGTTATTTGATATAGGGCCTTGCTACAGAGCTCAGACTCATAGTGATCCTCCTGCCTCAGCTTCCCTGCTGCTGGGATTACAGGCGTGTGCCACCACACCCGGTTTCGGGGATGGCACAGCACACCAAGTGTTCTAGGGCCAGTGTGGCATGTAGCACTGAAGACTCAACTGAGGTCCTTGTGCTTGCCAGGCAGGCACTTAGACCACTAAGCTATCTCCCAGCCCCTCAGAATCACATCTTCATTAACTTGGAAAAAATTAAATCAACGAGCTCAATATCTCTTCAAGTTTTCACTGATGAAATAATTTCTTCATCTTACGTTTTAACAATTCTTGAACAGACCAAGTAATGTTTAATTCAGTTTATAGATCCTAAAGTAATTTGTGCATTTTAGGCAACATTTGTGTATGTGTATCCATCATCCTTTCCTTTTTCCCACACTCTCAAAATTTAAAAATATTAGAAATACACTTGTAAATTCATTTCTTCAAGAAGCACTGCAGGGTGACTAATGGGATTTGTTTGAAGACTATATCTGGATTCATATGAATAAATACATAATTATTTAAAAACATTTTATTGTAATGCATGGAAAATCTGAGAAAGATATTCCATCCATAGTATATGGAAGGGTATCTATGCAACAAATTTCAGTCCCCTACTTAAAATGACAAGTCTACCTCTTCACTTGAAGTCACCATCCTACAGAAAATTATATCCTTTATCCAGATCCACTTGTTCAGAGTCACATTCTTCATATGTGAGAAAGACTTTGCAAATGCTCTTAACATTTTGTGCAAATCCAACTCTAACTGTACAAAGAAAAACCTAAGATATAATAATTATTCCCACACAAAAATGAGAGTGGCAGTCTCTGGGGTAGAAATAGATTACAAGCTTGGATTTGCATGTACCTTGAAAGGCTGATAGTTTTTCAAAGCACATAGCCACTTTCTTCCCAGAGACTGTATGCAGAAATAATCTCACATAATCATGAAAAAAAGAAAGCCCTGGACTCGGGACCTAAGATGCAGCTGTCAGGCACTGTTGCGGGATGCATCAAGTTAAGGACGGAGTGTGAGGGGAAGGTGCAGCTGCAACTGCTTATGAGAGAGTCCCGGAATCTCAGTGACTTGCTGGGTGGCAAGTTCCTGGATGCCACAGCTGAAATAACTGCAGCTCTGAAACCGATGCAGACACCAAGGGCCTTAGGGTTCCACTGTAGGAACCCCTGCAATGGCTCTCGCAGGTAAAAAGGCCATAAGGCCACGTGAGGTCTCATGAGTGATCAGTTCTGTGCCAGGCTTGGCAAAACAGGAAGTGGATCGTTAACCTATTTCCGTGATAATGGACTCGGGGTAGCACTTCTCCTCTTTGGAAGAGTAGAACAACTTTGCCAATGGACATTCACCACTGGGCTAACAATTGACTCCATAGGTACAGCTTCACTGGCCAATTCTGCTTCTTCTAGACAAGTTTAATCTGCCCTTATGTAACTTCCACCTTTATTGTCTTGTATCAAAAGGGAGCAAAAACAGTAACATGCTCTGAGTCCATTACCCCAAAGAGGCAGCCTGCAAACCGCGTGAGGTCTTATGAGTGACCAGTTCTGCGCCAGGCTTGGCAAAACAGGAAGTGCATCGTTAACCTATTTCCGTGATAATGGACTCGGGGTAGCACTTCTCGTCTTTGGAAGAGTAGACATTTAATTTGTTCTTTTGGATTAAAGTGCCTGGCTATCACCAATGCTACTAGTTCACACAGCCCTTACTTGGGTGCCCTTAGGTTTGGGTAGGAGAGGTTTCAGAGTCAAATAAAGAATTCAGCTTTGCCTAGATCAGGCATATTGGACCCCTCCTGCTGCTGCCAATGTGTTGCCCTTGGAGAAGAATTCTTCTGAAAATGGGTAAAGAGTGCTCGCTTCGGCAGCACATATACTGAAGATGGGTAAAGGAAATTCTTGGACTTTGCTTGATTTCATTCACAAATGGAGAAGCTCACAGTGATAATCTTAGCTTGCTCTTACTAATTTTATTGCTTACATAAAGGTTTGCATACACTTAAATAAATACATTTTGGCCCAGAGTGACTTTTAGTAGAATGTAGGGGAGGGAAGCAGGAAAAAGGACAAATGTAGTGGCTCCAAATACTGCCCGCTCCCAATTCCTCCTGGGATTCTTACCAATGAAATGTGTATTGAAGCCCATAATCCTGCCTCTATCACCTATAAGAAGATTAAGGCTAGCTTATGTCAAGTGTCCTTTCTGTTTACTCAGCCAGTAAATGATGAGCACCACTGTACCTGACACTAGTACAGATACTGTGTGCAGTGTGAAAAGAAACACAGAAGTACCAATAAGTGTGACGCTGTTTAATACTCATACCGAGTTTCCAAAGGCTTTCAGCATTCTTGGGAACACCTTACAAGGATTAGCCCACTTGTTCCTTGTTAGTAATCTGACAGGGCAATACTGGGGCAATGCACTACTGTGTCGAGGTATATGCAATAAAAGATGGAGCCTACAGTTTTATGTAGTAGATTTCAAATGCACTTGATCTTTAACCCAGAGGCAAGATGTATTTAACATCAGGATTACACACACACACACACACACACACACACACACACACACACACAAATATTTCCCATTTTCTTCTGGTGCACTGAAATTTTTAAAAAGTGACTGTCAAATGTATGTCCCTCCCTCATAGGTCACAAGCTTCCAGTTTAAAAATAATTATTTTTGTAGCTGGATTATGGGAGGATATAGAAGGAATGATCACAAAATAAATCTGTGATTTCAAGTGTGTGATCAAATGTTTCAGAATCCATGGTCTGAAAACAGGAGGGCCTGATCAGGGTAAAGAGACGAGCTCTCTGGGTATCTCTCTTTGTGCGCAGGCTCTAGGCCAGGAAGGAACCTGGCCGTCTCAACTTCTACCAGCACCAATACCAACACCCCCGCTGCTAAAGTCACTTCCATCTCTCCCACCATTTCTTGTTCCTCCATCTCCATTTTCATCACCGCCACCACTACCACCACCACCATCAGCACCAACTTCACCACTTTGTTAATTGGCCATTCAACCTAAGGCATACCAGTTTTCTGCCAAGTCCTTACATTAAAAGTCTTCAGAGAGGCTGAATCTGAGCTAGGCACAATGGACTGGAGAAGGCCACACTATCTCAGAGGGGAGGAAGCCCTCCAAACACTGAGACAGAAGTGGAGAATCACAATGAGGACGCCCCAAGAGTGGAGAAAGAGGCGGTTTTTGTTTCCTAACACGTCTCCCAAGGCCACATGCACTCACATCTTGGGACTTGAAAGATACTACACGGATTTGTTTGTGAACTCTCTATGGGATGATAATCTTTGTGGTTAGTTTACAAATAATTCTTAAATAAAAATGACAATGAGGAATAAAAATAACTAGAGTACTTCCTTGATAAAGACATTACAAAAAGAATGTAGTCAATTATTAAGCTTATTTAATGCACCGATTCTTGTAGTAATAACTATTAAAGCATCACCATTCTTTCCTGTACCCTAAATGGAAAAGTATGAAGTGGACTTTAATTGAAAATACATAGTTTCATTGTCTATATGTTCTCCTTGGGGTAATGAGTTATGAAAGAATAATCCACTGTATTAACTAATTTGGAGTTCATTGAATGATCACACATTTGAGTCTTGGGGATGAATGAGATTAAGCAAGCTCATCTGTTACCCTAACCCTAAAGTGCACAATGTTCCTATCATGATTCAAGTTGCCGATACGGCGCAAGTGGGTTGTTATCACACCCTAAGCTAAGGTGGTTGTGGAGAAATTGTCAGTGGTCACAGGGGAGGCAGCTCTTCCTGCATGTGGAAGGAGAGCCAGGGCTCAGTGCAGACTGCACAGCAGCAGGCTCACTCTCCCACACTTGATAAAATCCCCAGCGTTCAGCCTCTGCTGCCAGGGGACTCGAGATGAAGCAGTCTGCGTGCCGTATTTCTCCCCAGCGCAAGCACAGGCACGTCCTGCAGAGAAGCACCCCCCAGCTCATCCTGTTGTGTTTCAGGACTCAGAGGGCTTCTCTAAATTTTTTGTTTTAAAAAATATTTTTTGAAAAATAATAGACTGGGCGTGGTGGCACACGTCGGTAATCCCAGCTCTTGGGAGGCTGTAAACAGGCGGATCACCTAGTAGTGAGACCTTGAACACCCTGTAGATCCTTCCCTAAAATTTAAAAAAAGAAAAAAAGAAAAAGAAAAGGATCTTCATCCCGAGTCTTTCATTTACCTGCTCACTCACTGATAGAGTTAATGTATTTAATTTCTGCCTGACGGTTGTGGATTACATTTGGATTTAAGTGCTTTCGGTAGTAAATCCCTTATCTTTCAAACTGAGAGATTTCCTTAAAGAATGCCAAAGACATGCCTACAGAACACTGTATATCTTGTTAATTATTACACTCAGTTTTGGTTCATTGAAAATGTTTGCCAGATGTTTTGTCAAATAATGACCTAATCCTCATTAATACATAATAAACACTTGAAAAGCTATCCTAATATGCTAAAATGATATGCCTATATTTCCACAAATATTGGAAAATATTTCTCTTATTGCTTGGAGACTTGAACATCAAAATCCTTCATTTGCTTAGGATTAAAAAAATGTTATTAATAGGATAGAAAATATGGTCTTCTTATAAAATACGTACAGTAGAGAAATGTAAGCAGAAAACATATTTTCCTATAAATTTATTTTAAAGTTGTGGCCTGATAATGAATAATAGATATGCTTGGAACTCCCTTAAAATTATAAAATAGTTTCCCCAATGTTATATTTTTATTCAAAATGGGATCCATAGTGTAACCTAGTTTTTTTGTTGGATGGAAATTTTTTTTTAAATTTCATTTAATTTTATTTTGAAAAGTAAAAGCAGAAGCAAAAACAAATAGAAAAAAGACAGAAACAGGGTAACATGCAACCATACATATGTTACAGATTTTCAAAACAGGAATACCTACTTAAAAATGGTTGTTATATTGTCTATTTTTAATCTTCAAATCTGTTGCACAAAACAGATATAGTGACCTGGGGTGTGAGTTCTCAACATAGACGCTTAGCTTGAGCTTCCTTTGTCTGTGCATTCATCCACCTACCCACCCCTTACCTGTACAAATGTTCCTGTCACAGGCACTGAAGAAATCTCTCTGAGTTTGTCATTTGCCTTTCATTTTACTCTCTGCTTTTATTCAGACCTACATTTATATTTAGAATTGGTTATTTGGGAAGGAATTTCTTTCAGTTTGTTTTATTCTTTGAACTCCTATAAAAGGTAACGTGTTCTCACACTCTTTCATTTTGCTGATTTCTTCATTTATTAAAGACATGACACTGGCTCATGTGTAAAGTTCAGACAGCACAGAAGACTGCAGTGGAGAGAGAAGGCCCTGCCTCCCCAGCCCCAGGCTCTTCTGCTGTGGCTTCCTGACCCCCATTCTGCACAGTCAGTTGGGCTAGCAAATCCTGATGCAACCATCAAAGATTTTCTTTGATTGTACAAAATTCCCCTTAATCTCACTCTTTTGTATTCTGTTGTTTAAATTTTAAATTAACAAGATTAATTGAAGAAGCTCCGCAATAGCGTAAGGCAGCTTTGGGTCTATGGATACATTTTTCTTCTCTGGAATAAAATCTCAGGGACTCTTGGATAAAGGTATTATGTCTTCTGACAGCTCAAGGCTTGGTCTAGTACCATGACCTAGTTTCCATTTTTACCATGACTTGGTTATGTACTTTTTCCTTCGGAATCAACAAGTATCCCCGAGAGATCTGCTGCCCAATTTGTTCAGCCTTGTTAGTATTTTCTGGTTCTTGAGGCTTTGGTAAAAAAACAAATGTATTTCACAGTCAATTATTCGCAGTAGGCAATTGTAAAATATGCATTTCTCTGCTACTTGGTTTGATGATGAGGTTGGCATTGTCCTGTATAGATCCATTCATGCTATTCTTTTAAAAGGTCAAATAATAACTCATTGTAGGAGATCACAGTTTACTACTCATAGTCTCTTT